CCATCGTCCTGTCACTCTATGTGGATGATGTAGTTGTATTCGTGTTATAGTTACTGCTGTAGGAGAATCTTATTGACTGGGAAAATGTCCAAACTGCAAAAAAAAAAAAAAAAAAGTTGACATTGGGGCTATAAAAGTGCAGTTTTTTTCCCATTCACAACAAAATAAACAATTGACAGAACTCTAAACTTTTTTCAATCACCACTTTAAGTGCAACTTTCATCCATCTTTAAACCAGCAACAAACTCTCCCCTGGGTGGAAGGTGATTGGACGGAGGGCGGCAAAAAATATATGATTATATATCAACATTATATTATAATTATCCAGTCGATTCATAATCATAAATTGTCCTTTTTTTTATGAACTTTTTTGACCCCACGCTGGTGAAATTCTTGTTAACAGCAGATGCGCTACAACAGGCTGCCACTTGGAGGCGATAAGTACCACTAAAATGGTTATTGTCTGGGGGACCTTTCACATGTGAGGTGAATGAAAACGCTAAGAATGTCAAAATAAATTCACTTTTCTGTGTGTTACATTCGGGGTCCTTTATCATACCCTTCCACCGGGTGCAGAATCCCCTGCAGCGCCCCCTGTCTGTTCCTATAGAACATTGTTTCCCATAGACTGGGTCGCGACCCTCAGATGGGTCACATCATGTTTCCCAGGAGTTTATGAAAATAATGTCTGTTGACTTGGGTTGCGAAGTTTTGTGGCTTTTAAAATATGGATCCCTGCAAGAAAAGTTTGGGAAACACTAGTCTAGAAAGTACAGTTTTGGCCTCCTGAAGTTAGAACAGATACTCCCACCACCCTAACCACAGTCGCCTTGTCCTCCAAACTGTTTACACAGTTGTTTGGCGATTGGCTGGGAGCTAAGCAGCGGCGAAGGGTTGGTGACGTTGATGTATTTACCTCCTCTGTGCTGACAGGAAGATGTTTTCTATGTTCCGATTGAGCGGCTCCCGGGCACAGCGGCCGGCGCTGCTTTGTTTAACCCGGTCAAGTTGAGGCGAGTTTGCTTACACACTCAATGAGACGTCCATGAAGACGAGAGGAAGACCTTCCCTAATCTTGGCTGACATTGGGGCCTTGGCAGGCAGAGGCGAACGGACGGAAACAAAGCGGCGCCTCCTGTGGGATGAGAGTCTGCTGTAGCGACACGCCGAACACAAAGTGCCTCCTCCGCCTCGGTGCCCATGTAATGGCCGTCCTCGCCATTCTGGAAATCTATTTCTACATTAGAGCAGAGCGTGAGATTTCCAGTTTTCCAGAAGTCAGCGGGGCGCCGCTGTGCACGTACACAAATGAACAAATGTGGCACCTGTCTGGCTGCAAACTAGGAGGAATGGTGGCGCCCCCTATGGACTGGTCCACAGGTTCAAAGTCAAATCCCTACTTCTCCATACAAACAAAGGATTAATTAGTGTCCTTTTGTAACGAGACAATGATCAGGAATTACAGTCTGACCAGTGTGTTCGTGTGTAAAGACGGAACGACTGTTTACGACGACTGTTGTCACATGACCTCGCGCTCACAGAGACACAGGACAGAACGCAGTCACAAACTGACTTCATGAATATATATATATTATATTATAATTTTAGATTTCCTGTGTATATATTTAAATTTACAAAGAGCAATAAAACGGTGCATCCTGATTGGTCGATTTGCAAAGTACGAGTTCTCAGCGTGGGTGGACGGCTGACAGTTTGGATCTTGGTCATGGCTTGACATCTTTTTTTTTTTTAAGTTGACATAGAAACAGTATATAAACAATGTAGAGAGTAAATATATAATCCACATGTTTTCTTGTCATCATTTTAATTATTCATTAAATAATGTTAGGTTTTTTTTATTTTCTGAAGGTGATGCTGTTGGTCTTGGATTTGAAATGTGGTTTTTTGGATATGACTTTTTGCTGATTGGGTTGTGTGTGTGAGTGTGTGTGTGGGGGGGGGAGGGGGTGGCACTAAATAACTAAGTAGTTTTTTTTTATTATCCTCCAAACGGTCTTAAAGGAGGTCAAAGTTTTGCCGGCCAGAAATTCCATATTTTATTTCTAAGGTCACTGAAGACATTTAGGGAAACCGTGCACTTGAACCTGTTCATGACACACACTCTCTCTCTTTCTCTCTCTCTCTCTGACACACACACACACCGTTTTGCCTTGTCAGCTAACCCCCTCTAGTGCCGAGTCTCCTGTACAGATGCGCACAGTCTCCGCCGCTGTAGCCGTGGTTTGTGCTGCTCCTCCGCTTCATCCCAGTCGTTTCTCTGTTCACCGCACAGATCACACCGGGGCTGACGGTCGGTCCACGGAGAACCAGCTGCAGGGACCGGGAGGAGCCTTACATCCGACACCGGTCCGTGTGCGCCTCTCAGACGGACCTGATTAATGAGGTATTTTAGTTTCCTCGGGTTTCTTTCTTTTTTTTGAAACAGTCCTTTAACGTTGACCCGAGTCAGTGGGAGGTTTCAAAGTTATTCACTGACAAGTGAAATCATCTGACTTTAGGTTGTTTTGTTTTTTTAATTTTTTTATGCGACTTTGTCCAGGTTGTGTCTGCGCTGCCGCCGCCGCCGCCGCTGCTGCTGCTGATTCCTGCGGGTGAAGGATGGATCTCTCCTCCCGCCGTCCAGCAGTTGTCTGCGGGCAGGAGCCAATGTAAGGAGCGGGAGCAGGGAGTTGGAGGAGGTTGTGGAGGATCGCCGTCTCCTTTTTTTTTTTTTTTTTTTTTTTTTTTTTTTTTTTCTTTTTTGTCTGACCCTGGTTACACCTCCTCCAGATGAAGTCGGCCGTGGATGTCGGAGGAGACATGAACTGTGGAAACAGACTCTTCCTCGTTTCACTTTTTCTTGGAATTGTCCTCACGCGCTTCAGCCTGTGCAACCAAGGTGAGACAGATCCACTCAGAGTGATGATGATGATGATGATGATGATGGTGGTGGTGGTGATGATGCACTGCAGTATTTTGTGATGTAAAAACAACAAGTTCAGACTCGAACAGCGGTTTGTTTATTTATTTATTTATTTATTTCATTGGTTGCCATTTAAACAAATCTCAGCCAGGTAACCAGTCGTGTCCTGGTGGTGGGATGCTCCGCTGGTGTTTGGCTTCCTTTAACAAAGGAGAATGCAGACTGTAGCAGTCGGTCTGTCGAGTAAACAGAAGTGAGTGGATGAATTTGGCACTTTAAAAAGAAAAAAGAAAAAAAAAAGACCTTGTTGTTGTTTGGTACCAAACTATAGCGTTATATAATATGAAATATTGACAGCTGCTCTGTTCTGACTGGATTTGACCATGATTTTCTGAACAGAGATTTTGTGGAAAAAAAGGGAGCGATGATACTTGGAGCATAAATTTAAAAAAAAAAGCAGAATTAAAGGAAGTGAGGGATGTAAAACAGGAAACAGACGTGAGACTGAAAAGTATTACTTTTAGTCCTGCTAATATCACATACTTGTTGTACAGAAATATGAGGTTATTCAGTCAACAGACGCTGTTGTTCACATCCTGTCAGTCGTATTAAAAAACACACAAACAAAAGAGAAGTGAAATCAGCTTCATGTTCCTCATCAGCCGCAGTGACAGCTCTGAGGATTCTATCATTTCTCAGCCTGTATCACACACACACGCACACGCACACACACGTACGTCCTATCATTGTGTGAAAGAGTGGCAGTCGGTTGGTTCACAGACAGATGAATAAATCCACAGACAGTAAATCCTGTAACTCTGCAGGTGTTTTTGAATGAAAACATTACAGTAACACACACACGTACACACACACGTACACACACACGTGTGTAGACCTCCAGCACCAGTCAGGTCTAAAATAGTCTTTATTGATTGTGCCCCCGCCCCCCCCCCCCAGTTCTATTATATTGTTATGGGTCCAGTTGGACTGTCGTCTAGACCGCAGGCCAATTGAAGTCCGTTCTGCCGACCGTTCCGCTCGAGCCGCCGTTATTGACCGCTCTGTGGCCGCGGTGGTCGTCGTCTAGACCGCAGGCCACAACCGAGCGTGAAGTGAAAAGTGTCAGTCGTTAGAGGTGTTGTGAGTCAAACAGTCGGCGACTTTACGGCTTTGTATCGACGGTAGATGATGGAACGACGAGAACCGCGTTCCACGTCGCATCACGTGACACGGGGTTCTCCAACTGTGACGCCATGACGGTGTTCCAGTGTAGAACAGTCTGGAACAGTCTGTCACCGTACCGCTAACAGTCAGCCATCTTCTACAGCCATGGAGAGGAAACACAAGTCAACATCAACCCTTCGGTGTCAGTCGTCGCAGGTTTTTTTGTTTTTCAATTTCTGACGTTTTTTCGTACAAAGACAAACAGAACTCAGAGATTTCACGCCCAAAGTTGGGAGACGTTAGAAGAACAATAAGAAACAATCACCTTTTTGCCTCGCCTGTTTGCTTCCACGTCGAACCCCCAA